CCTATTTGCATCACTTAGAGAGCGTGAAGAGCGGAGTCAGAATTCGGACGTTGTAAAGTATTTGTTTTTGTGTTATTTTCACGACTGCTCTAAAAGTTTACCACGTTATTTTACGCTTGGTGACCCTAGAGTAAACTTTGATCGACTTGGACTGCTTAGATTCGCCAAGAGCAGACGTCAGAATCTCACGTTTAGTTTACAATTCTAGAATATAGGATTTCCAGCCGATTGAAAGCGCATCTCCGGGTCCAACAATATCTCTGTCTAACTTCTCTGTTTTCTTCAATTTTACTACCGTCAATTATCGATTTCTGAGCGTGTTCGTTAATTGGGACACATTCCAAAATCCTCCCTTAACCTTTTGTACATCCCTGCGACTAAACAGTTCCCCACCCTACCCGTGTCTAGTCATCGTTTAATTGGGATTCATCGAGTCTTTTATCCCTAATCGAGCAGGACTTTTTGAACTTGACTTTCAAATACTTAAATTTTAGCCATTCTTACTGAAGATTCAAACGGATACTTCAAGTACTAATCACAAAAAAGAAGTTCCTGATTTTGTTCATTGTTCAGGAGAACCGTGATGACTGGTCTATTAATAAAAATCACCAACAGTCCTCTCCCTCTCCTAGCTTTAACATAGCGGAAAAAAGGGAACAAAACAATACAACTATAACAAAGTGAAAACCTTTATTTCACCACATGCCTAACTGACATCACCAAAAATGTTTCGTTTCGTAAGCGGGAATTTGATCTGAATCACAAACAAAGGAAAGTGTCTTTCCTGCAGCGCGACGTCCAATGCCCAAATATGCGCTAGCTACGTTCAAATTACTCTGAATGTGTTCTTGTTATTTTTAATTACTAATGTGCAAACGCGAGCTAACTTTAAGAAATCCAGCCTATTACTCCCAAAATGTTTACATCATCGTCAATTTTCCGTGGCATTTTTCATTTGAGAATGTCAAATCAAAATTTGTTTTGGTTGTCTGTTTCCTTACTTGTTTTCTTTGTCACTTCATAAACTGTTGAAGAAACTTCCTGAGCAATGTTTGAATTTCCAACTTCCTTTCGCAAATTGCGGGGCAGCGACCTAAGCAGGTATTTAACCTTATGATTAACCTCGGTTCTCCTTTTTGGATCTTTATGGCTGCCCCAAGGTAAACTTCAATGACCAGAACAACTTCGCTTCTACCAACACAGACATAGGGCCAGGTTTTCAAACTGACAATCATCTATCCCAAAATGACGCATACTATTTTTCACTTCAGCGCACCAGTGAAGTTGTCTCAATTGTATTCTGTTTCATACTGTTCCTCGTCCCATAGCTCTCCCAAATTTTCAA